TGCGTCTCGGGCCCTCACCCTTCGATGTGCTTGTTCCCAACGGAAACGACATTGTAATCCTCCGTCGAAGGGCACCATCTGAAGCTCGTTTTCTTGCCTCTTGAACCCATCTACAATAGCTTCTAACTCAGCTATTGTCTTTCCATCTTTCTCATGCTGTTTTTCTAAGTCAGCTACCCGAACTTTCAAGCGCTGGTTCTGATATTGACTATCTGCCAAGCGTCTTTGGGCAGTCTTCATCTGTTCCTTCCAAGCTTTCTCATCAGGCCCCTCAAACTTCCTTTTCAGGTTATGAGCTTCATCTTTCCAGTATTAAGAGGTTACCTTCAATTTGGCGTTATCCTTGACCTTATCTTGATACCTCTTTCTCAAGTCTTCGAACTCAAAACAGACTCTTTTCTGTTCTCTTTCCAGTTTATTTGCCCGGTCTTTCTGAGAGTCAGCATCTAGCTTCCACTGATAGCGCTCGGCTTCAAGTTCCTTTATCCTTTGCTTCAGCTCACTAATCACGGCTTCAAACTCGGTCTTGGCTATCTCGAGTTCAGAAGGGACATGCCTGAGATGTTCTTCCATGGTTCGGGTGTCATCACAGTCTGGCACAGGGATGTTGTCATTCTTTCTCAATCTTCACCACTCCACATAATCCGGAGTGAGCATACTTCTGGCAGCTACAACATCCATCCGGAATACTTTCCTCCACGAATCGGCTGCTTCTTTGATCATCTTCTTATAGTTGTCGCCGTGATACTCAAACTCTGACCTAGCCAACCCGCATATTGCTAGGACAAATTGACGTGCTCCATACTGTCTAAGTGCTAATAACGGAGCATACCCGACTGCTCCCCAAAGCCCAAGTAAGGTCACAGTGTCAGAGTCACCACATCGGAAAAGAACGTCACTGAGAATTAGCCAGGGGGCTCTCCAGACAATATCTCGGTCCTGAAGATGCGTAAAGACCTTCATCCATTTTTCCTTCGAGGCGCCTTCATGCCATTTTAAGGTGATAAATTCACCTAGAGGTGAATAGGTGGTGCTGAAACGGCGGTAGGCAACCCCGTCAGTCTTCCAGAAGTGGCTGTGAATCCAGACCTGAAGGAGCTGAATGCACCCGGTGAATCTTCCTCCGCCAGTTCTTCGGCAATGGTTGAGAGATCGAAAGGTCTCGGCCAAGATGGCTGGTGCTGGGTTAACTCGTTTAGAAAGTTGCTCAAATAGGTCCACCACGGCAGCGTCAATGCACCCCAAAGCCTTCGGAAAGATGATCAAACCGTACAGACCCAGTGCAAAAAGGTCTATAGTCTTCCACTCATCAGGGTGGTTTTTCATTAGTTGCTTTATGTGGATCCATTCAATTCCTTCTCCACTGCCTCTACGCTGAGTCCGATCGATTACCCATTTCTCATCTACTCCTGCAACTTTGGCCAATGCATTCTTGAAGGCTGGCTTTTGATGTGTTTAATGTAGGCTCGCTCAAGCTTGATGCTTTCACAATGCAGCAGTGTAGTGTATTCTTCGATGGTGGGGACCATGTACTCTTGGTTAAAAGTGAAGCAACTATATCACGGGTTCCAGAATTGAACCATGGCTCTGATTAAGGGCTCATCAGTCTTAACATGAAGCAAGAGTGCAATGTCACCGTACCGTTGGCTGAACTTCTACCTCCGATCATTCTTCCAACTGTCCCAGATATCTCGAAGCTCTTGTACATTGTTCTGTTTTAGGCTGATAGGGGTGTAGCGAACCAACTCTGACACATAGCTTCCTTGAAGACTGTCTCCCTTTTCACTTTGAGTCTTCTCGGACCATAGTCGTGCCTCAGCGTTTTCAATCTCTTGTATTACAACACCTTTGTCCATGAATTCAGATTATTTGAGTTTTAATAAACACCTTTTTAGGGATCAATGGCCTCTTGTTATGATGCAAATGCTAAAAACAAACACAAAGGCAAAAAGGTTAGTAAAATAGAAATAAATAAAAAAAATGGTAAAGAAAAAAACATAAGGACACAAAAAAAAAGTTAGGAAAGAAATGTCCTAGGTTTTGGAATGTGGTTTTGGGGTAGGCTCTATTTATTCAAAGTCTCCCGGTTTAGGTTCTAAAAACGGTACTCGAGTTCTCCTTGCTGGCTCCCCCTTGGGCCGACCAGACCCTTAGTCCGAAACCCATCACAGGCTTGTGTGGACTAAGTTAAACTCGAGAGGACACATTCCCTTATGCCCATACGGAGAATAAATTCACACGAATGCATAAGGTATATGAATCCCGAAGGCTACTTGCTAGGCCCATACGATGAATAAATTCACACGAAGGCGTCGCTTTCACCCCCACTTAAAACAGGTTCGGAGCTCGGGTTTAGAGCCTTAGATGAAAAATGTTTGGAAAGCTGAAATCATTAGAAAACGGTCAGTCCAACTATTTACTCGAAAAAATATAATCAAAAATAAGTAATAAGGATCGAAATATTACCTTAAAATTTAAACTTACCCTTTTCGTTAAAAAGACAACTGGAAATTACCTTAGCCTGACTCACTCACCTGTGTCCCCAGTGGAGTCGCCAACCTGTCGCAACCATCTTTCGGTTAGGCCCCGGAATTGGGTTTCGACTTGAAAAATGTGGATTGGGAGTCGCCACCGATCATTTATTTAAAACAAATGGGTTGATCGGATACCCTATTTCTTACCTGATCTGCGTCTTTCCAAAGATGTGTCGGGTTCGGGAGTCAGTTACGGTCAAGGAAGGATTAGCACCCTTAAACCGCCCTTTCGGTACTACGTAGTTTCCAGTTGTCTTTGATTAAGAAAATTGCAAGTTTAAGTTAAAAGGTGAAATAGCGATTCGAATTACTTACCTCTGATTGCTTGAAATAACCTTAAAGGAAATAGACGTTAAGAGAGAAAAAAAAAGGTGATTTAAAGATAAAAACCATGAGAAATAAATGAAATAATGCAAGCAAATACAAAAAAAAAAAGAATATATATATATATATATATATATAGTAAGTAAAGTAAAATAATAAAAACATGTGTATAACGAATAAATAGATAACAACCAAGAATAAATAAAAATAAAAAATATCAAAAAGGTGCGATGATAATAATAAAGGATGAACAAAATAAAAATAAATAAATAAAAATATTTATGTTAATAATAAATAATAATAGTGATAAATAAAAAATATATACATAAATACGTTAATAGTAAAAACTATGATAATAGTTATATGTAAAAAATATATATATATAAAAAGAAAGAAAATATATATATATAATAAAAAATATATAAATAATAAGAAAAAGGATTAAATTGAAAACGAAATAAATTCAAGGGTCAATTTACAAGGATTTCGGGTTCAATAATCGATTCAGAGGACCAAATTAAATGATTTAAAAACTGGAGAACCAAAAAGCGAATCTCTCCCTTCTTGTAAAAAACACGCGGGTCTGAGGAGTTCATCGGGTCGGGTCGTAAGGCTGGAACGGGTTTAATATATAAGTCAACATTTTTTTTAAGACTCATTTTCTTCTCTTCTCCAAAACCAGAAAGAAAGAGAGAGTTGAAACTCTCTCAACCTTCCCTCACCGGGGAAGGGAACGCCGCCCGTCAACGGCGATAACCACGGCGGCCGGTGCGGCGGCGAACGGCGGTCGCAGGGACCAAAACGGTCCCAAAAATTTCCTTTTCTCATCCTTAACCCGATTCCCAACTTATTTCGGCTAAAAACCGACCCCTAACACCTAGATCTAATCTTTTACCTTTCGAAAGTTTGGAACTCTGGTGACCGTCGGGCTTCCGAAATGGGAACAAGGTATAGCTTCCTCTCTTTTTCTCTTTCTTTTCTTTCAACCTTCAAATCTCTGTATATATCTTGTATTTTTTGTGTAAAGAAAAGAAAAAAAAATCGTGTAAAGCAGTGTGTATGCGTGAAAAAAAAGGCTTGTATTTCTCTTCACTATTCGTAAAAAAAACCGTCCCTTTTACTGGGTTTACAAGCTTATTATTTATAATACAAATAAACCCTATTTTTAGCCTTGTTTGAGTCCTAATCGAACTCTACTTGTGTTGGTTGTTGGTGACGAGCGTCGGACGCTTCGGAGCTGTTGGAGGCGAGAGACGTGCGCCGTGAAACTCGGAGATGAGGACCCGTGAGGCTTGATGATGCGGCGCTGGCTTGGATGAGATGGGATTAAGGTCTCTGGAAACCCTAATCTGATGTAGGTCGTGGGTTACTGGGCCTTGTTTGGGCCACTGGTTCTTGTTGGCATTTGGCTTTTGGACCTGTAAAACCAATGGGAACACTAATGTAATAGATATATTTATATAATATGACCTATGATGTAAATACATTATATAATGTAACGACATTAAAGGACATATATTATATAATGCAACAACATTAAAGGACAAAATTTGGTGTCTTCAATAGGTTAATGGGAACGAATAATTGACTAAAAAAATCAATATATAAAATTTAATTTTTAAATTGAAATTTTAATTTGAGTGACTAAAATAGGTGTAAAAAGAAAATTTAGCGATGATGTGTAGTTGACCTTTAAAAATTAAAAAAATGAGTAAAAGATGAATATATAAAAAAGGTACACCGAATACCATCAAATTTTAGGTATTGTATCGTTTATACTATTAGATTTTTAATTTTTCCAATTATAGCACTAAACTTTAGTTTTCGTTTCAATTATATCATTAGATTGTTAAAACGTTAACAACCAGATCAAAATGACATTGTTTTGGTGAGATGTCTATCTCAACATCTGTCAATTAAATCATTGTATTGTTAATGATTTAACAATTTTGTGGTATAATTGAAAAGAAAATCAAAATTTAGTACTATAATTGAAAAAACTAAAAGTTTAATGAAATAAACGATATAGCATCTAACGTTTGATGATATCTGATGTAGTTTCCCCTAAAAGAACAACGAACTATGTTAGAATTGGAGTTGGGTAATATAAGTGCACTATGTCCAGTAGGGTTATAACGCCTAACCCGTTCCAATCTCTATTTCTTCCTCTCTGCGTCCTCGAGTTTTGGTTTTGGGTTTAGGAGTCTACTTTCTATTCAGTCTTTCACATGGCGGGTGCTGGAATCCACCCTTATCACCAGCAGTGGCCTCCAGTCCAAGCTCCTCCGCCCCCTCCATCCGCGCCTCCTCCGCCACCTGGTCCCTCTCATCATGACGAGGTCAACTCTCTCTCACTCCACCCTTTTTTTTCAGGCCTTAGATTTCAGCATGAATTGCATGTTTGATAGTTATCGAACACTAATGGCCCCTTTTTGAGATTTCCGCATAAGTAACTACGATGTAGTAGTTCCTTTTCTCCTAGCTTAGCTACGGAGGGGCGGGTGGGTAGTCGTAAAATTTAAAATTATCATATATTTTAAAATTTTATTTGTATTTTTTTTATTGAAAATCTGTTTTTGTCTATGAATTTTATAATTCAAGTTCGTCACTAGAATTTTAGAAGATCAAATCCGACCCTTGACATAAAATCCTTGCCTCCGTAAAAGTTAATATATTTAATGTGTATAGTGTATACAAACCTATCTTTGTAGAGCATGCATTTTTGTTTTCACGTACATGTTTATAGTTATTTCCTTGGATAGTTGGATATTGTAAAAATTAATAGAAATATTTGTGCTGGATTTAGGTCCGTACTATCTTCATTACGGGTCTTCCTGAAGATGTCAAAGAGAGAGAGCTGCAGAATTTACTTAGATGGCTTCCAGGTTTTGAAGCTTCGCAAGTGAACTACAAGGGAGAAAAGCCTATGGGTTTCGCTCTCTTCTCAAATGCACAATTTGCAGTTGCTGCCAAGGATGCCCTTCAGGTATCATAAATTTATTTAATTGGTGTTTTTCATTTTACTCATCTGAGTTAGTTCACTTTTTTTCAAAGCTCTGATTGGGTTTGATTTGGGCTTGTGCTAGGAAATGGTTTTTGATGCTGAGTCGAAGTCCCTTTTGCACACAGAGATGGCAAAGAAGAATCTATTTGTTAAAAGAGGTAAGTTGTCACTTTAACACTTTGTTTAATGCTAGAGAAACATACTTTACATTGTTATAAAGAAATGCACAGACAAAAAGTGTGTTAAACTGGAGATAAATTAATGCAAAACGCATAATCTGGTTTGAAATGAGCATGACATGTGAAAGATAATTAGATGATAGTCCTAAGTACATAACAACACTGTGAAATGAAATTTTTAGGAGCTAGATTTTGGGTGAGTGTGGCTGAAATATTGTCAAAAGTTTTGCTTTACATGATCAATTTTAGATGTCTACTGTTGCTATTCTTCAAATATTGTAAATTTCATACAATAATTAGAAGAAGGAATGTTAAAAGGAAGTGAGCTAACAATAATATCTATTACCATTATGATGCAATGATCATATGTAATTTCTTTGTAGCTTATTCATTGAATAGAGGCTCCAACAAAGTGGAATATTTGTTTTGAAGCAGCCATCCCCTTTTGGAAACATTAATTCTGAAGTTGGAAAACTTCCATTTAGATAGGCTGATTTGACAGTCGATGAATTTTGTCTCTGTTTTCAATTCCTGTCCTTTTTTTCTTTGTTTCACCTACGGATGACAATACAAACAAAGTGATATTGTGAGTTTTGGAGAAAAAAAAATAGCTAGAAGAATTATTGAACTTTTGGACCAAATTGTAGTTATTCAGTTGTCACTTTTCTAAATTTTCAATGGGCTCTTTCTTTTTCTTCTTGAAATTTGGTTTTGTTGGTTAAGGTGTGTACAGTTTGAAGTTTCCATTGAAGAGTTCTAGTATCTTCTTCTAAGTTGATTTATCCCCAGGAATATGATATTTAGTTTACTGTTCCAGGCTTCCAGCTTATTATCTAGTTGCACATGAATAATTCATTTTTTTTAAAATGCCATAAGTTCCCAATACGTGTGACTACTGAATAATTATTTGATTTTAAGGTCTCGTAAGTTGCTCATATTTCAAATCTGAACATAAATTGTGGAATAATCTTCTACCTTGAGAAGCCTTTAAGATAAAATAAGCCTTTTGGTTATCCACCTCTTTATGGGGTTGTCATGTGTTTGAGTGGGTATGTGAGAGTTGTAAGTGGATGAGGGGGGAGAGAAACATGGTGATCTGGTGTTTGGATAATATAAAATGTAAATTTTCCATGGTCAAGAACCTATTTTATGTTTTGTGATATTTATTCTACAGGAATAGTAACAGATTCTGATGCATATGATCAAAGCAAACGGTTGCGAACCGGTGGCAATTATTCCCACAGTCCTTATTCAACTCCACCTCCATTTCACCCTCCTGCACCTGTTTGGGGACCACATGGGTAAGAAGCTATGCGAAGATGTGGGTTGTATTCTGCTGTGATCAAGTTTGCCTTGTAGTATGTAATATCAGTTATAGTTGCAACATTTCTTGTTAAAGTTAAGCTTTATTTTCCCTAGGTATATGGCTCCAACTCCTCCCCTTCCTCCTCCATATGACCCGTATGGATGTTATCCTGTTCCTCCAATGCCAGTGCCAATGCCAACTCCAGCTCCAAGCAGTTATGTGCCTATTCTGGTAATTTCTATGTTTCACATGCCCTTTCCTCTTCTGGTTTAGATTTTGTATCAATTTTATTATCCATTTTTTTCTTCTAAATTATAGAAATAGTGGGTTATGAAGACTCTTTAATAACAATTAATTTTTAGCATAATATACCTTGATTGCAATGAACTTCTGCTAAAAAGTTGCCTTTTTGGACACTGTAGATATGACTATTGAGTCCAATGCTTTATGGATAGTTGTCAATGAACGGGTGTTAATGTGCTAGCATCTTATTAGGATGCTGTTCATTTTCCTGAGAAACTTAGATGCAGCCTCCATCACGTGTCCTATTTTCTGGAAGTAAATTTTCACCATTGCAGTTTGACATATACCAAGCAAATGTTTAAAATTGTCAAAAATACTTTTATCTAGCATGTTTTCTCTTTGTGAATTTGTGGCAGTTACAAAGTTGGACTTCCCTTGTTTAGGTTGATTATACTTTTGTCCTTGTCTAATAGTCACGTGATTATGTTTTTCATATGCTTCTTTGGTATTTTATATACGTGTAACATGTTCAGGTACAAACAATTGATTTCAGTACTTTTTTCTCTATTTTCTAGTTATCTTTCCATATATGTGTATTTTAAATCTCATTGTAATCAGTAGAACTCTTTTATCATTCTATCAACACTAGCTAATATGTTTTGATAGACTAAGCAATATTTTTTTATCTAAGATATTTTCAAGGATTGTATACTTAGCATTTTGCAAGACTTAATCTTTTTATTGACGGGTTACTGACAAACAATGATGAATGTGCTTCTTCTAATATTGTATGCTAGAAAGATATCCTTTTGGGACTCTTCTAACCTGAAAGTTTTTCCTCTGTCATAGCCATGGATTTGACATCCTTACCTTGAACATCCCTCTCTGGGTGTAAAATCACATTATTAAAGAACCTGTGTACTGTGTATAATAGGTCTCTACAGAATTTCTACGAGGAACATGCCTGATGCAAACTTGAGCAAGCTACTGTGTGATAGCCTTTTAATTCTGTATTAGGCTTGTATTTACTAGAATTTACTAGAAGAGGACATTTTCTTCTTTCTGTTAAATTCTATCAAGCTTCTGTTCCTTGTTATAACCACAGTACATGCTTTTCAGAGTTTGATGTGCGATAATGTTTTGTTTTTTATTTTCTATTATGATACATCACATAGCCTAGTAAGTTTCAGATGTTGTCCATTTACTTTTAACGATATTTTTATTGGCAGAATACCAAAGATAACCCTCCTTGCAATACCTTATTTATTGGCAATCTTGGAGAGAATATTAATGAGGAAGAATTGAAGGGCCTATTCAGCGTGTAAGAATGAATTAGCCACTGGCTAGTTTCTGGGCTGTCTTATTTCTTATTTGAGTTTTGGGTTGCTTGCTGATGACGGTTTGGTATATTTCGTACTTCCGCTTTACATGCAGTCAACCTGGTTTTAAGCAAATGAAGATCTTGAGACAAGAGAGGCATACTGTTTGCTTTATTGAATTTGAAGTAAGTTTATCTATTTGTATGCCAAGCAATTATGCATGGAATGAAATTTTCTTGGGTTTTATTCATAATCTTAAGAGTTTGTTCACCAACTTGCAGGATGTGAGTACTGCAACCAATGTGCACCACAGTTTACAGGGTGCTGTGATACCTAGTTCTGGTTCTGTTGGCATGCGAATACAGTATCCTCATATTTTGTTGTTGCTTTATTTTGTTAAGTGTTGTTTCCCTATTTCCATTCTTATGTGAACCGTTGCATATAATCGGTGCTTTATTCATGTTCTATTTCATGGGTTTGTGTCTTGATTCTTCTTGCTTCTTGTTATCTTAGTTTAGGAATGACAATCCACAAATACCTCCTCTTTGATTTCTCAATAAAGAACGGCTCTATGAGTTCCTAACAGGGTTGAACCGAGACTTGGACGGATTTCGTGGCCGTATTCTAGGTAGGACCCCTCTTCCAACCATTGGAGAAGCATTTGTAGAGGTTCGGAGAGAAGAAAATCGTCGTCGAGTGATGATGGGAGATTCCAAGGAACCAAAACCCGTGACCAATTCTGGTCATAGTCCTATTGAATCATCTGCCTTGGTCTCAAGGGGCCCTCAATCTCAAAAGAATCAAGCAGGGAATGATTCAAAACCATAGTCACAAGGATCGTGGTACGCTCAATACGGGAACGCGGAACGGGATCGCAATTCGCTAGGTCCCTAAAATTCGGTACGAGGGGGGTAGACTTCTTTCGGATCGCTCCGGTACGATGTACCATATAAATTGGTACGATGTATCAGTTTCTTAGATAGAGATCAATTATGCATGGCTCCTTTAGGAACAAAATAATTCAAAACTCAAAATCTAATACGCATAAATCCGATTTAAGGACTAAAATAAATTGAATCAAAAATGAGCATGGCTCCTTTAGGAATAAACCCAAGCGAACAAAAATGGACCACCCTGGACCCCAATTAAACGACAGTGTTTAACCAAACTATCTAAAGCCTTTAAAATTTAACCTAAAAATAGATCATAATTTATGCTAAACCTAATCCCTTCCCCCTGCACCGTTTTGAACCTCTTCTCTTCTTCATCCTCTACTCCTCACACCCGTATGGCCTAAAGTCTTCACAGCCCCAGACCCGAGCAACTTCGAACCCTCTTCTCTTCCATCACCTGAGAAGGAAACCCAAAAGGCTTTGATCATCGATCATCAGCCCCGACGAGGAGCTGTTTTGAAACGATTTCCCCTCCCTCTTATTCTCCTCTGATTTTTTCTCTCAAACCCCCAATCCCTTTATTTTTCTGATTGCATCTCCTCTTATCCCTGCTGCTAAACTACGATGTACCGAAACGATCCGAATGCGTTCATACCGCATTTTGGATCGCAACGTTCAGTACGTAGATCGTGGCCAAATGAGCGATTTATGTAACTATGTTCAAAACTAAGTCGCTTAGGAGATCGACTATGGTGTAGCTACTGTAACCGTACTGGTTACACAAAGGAGAAATGTTTCAAGCTCCACGGTTATCCTGGTACAAAAAAAATTCAGAAGGAAAATAAGGCTCTTTTATCCTTGGGCAGCTCATCCACAGCGACCCCTGTACTTAATGAAGCTGTTCAGGATGTTTGCCTAACAAAATCCCAACTTGAAACTCTTCACAAGTTACTCGGTGCACCAATAAGCCATGGTTCCTTGGCTGTTCAAGGTACTGCTTTTAATATTAATTCTGAATCTAGTAATCATCCATCCTGGATTCTAGATTCGGGAGCATCCGATCACATGACAGGTAATTTATCACTATTCCATACGTATGCCCCCTGCCACAACCAATCTCGAATTCGGATAGCTGATGGTTCATACTCATCTATTGCTGGAATTGGGGCTGTTCGACTCACTAAGGACTTCTCACTCGAGAAAGTTCTTCATGTCCCTAGTTTATCTTGTAATTTACTGTCAGTAAGTAAACTTACTGAAGACAAGGTTGTTTGTGCTGAATTTTCTGCTGATGGTTGTATTATACAGGAACAGAAATCGGGGAGGATGATTGGCACTGCTAAGGTTGATGATAGACTCTATATATGGGATGATTACAAGGACAAGAATAAAAAGGAGTATTTGCTTTCTCTTCTTCAAACGAGGACACTGTCATGACGTGGCATTGTAGGTTAGGACATCCAAATTTCTTGTATTTGAAGCAGTTGCTTCCTATGTTATTTCGCAATAAAAAAATTGATTCCCTAAAATATGAAATATGTCAATTGTCAAAATATACCCGTGTTCCTTATCCTTTGAAGCCTTATATACAATCCAAACCTTTCTCTTTGATTCATAGTGACCTTTGGGGGCCAAGTCGTGTTAAAATCATCACGGGTGCTAGATGGTTCATAACATTTATTGATGACCATACTAGAGTATGTTGGGTTTACCTCCTAAAAGAAAAAACAGAAACACCAAAATTATTCTAGAATTTCTACTCCATGATCCGAACCCAATTTGACTCAAACATACACACGCTCCGCACTGATAATGGAAGGGAGTATTTCAATTCTGTTTTAACCCCCTATCTCTCTGAACAAGGCATCGTTCATCAAAGCTCTTGTCCTGACACACCTCAACAAAACGGGATCTCATAAAGAAAAAATAGACACCTACTAGCTATTGCTCGAGCCTTAATGTTTACCATGAAAGTTCCAAAATACTATGGGGGAGGTTGTCCTTATTGCATGTTATTTAATAAACCGTATGCCTTCTAGAGTTCTTAATCTCCAAACTCCTTTACATATCCTACAAAAAAACTTCCCCCTATTTCGTGTTATTATCCTACCAGCCAAGATATTTGGTTGTAAAGCCTTTGTACATAATCACCAACCTAATCAATCCAAACTTGATCCCTGAGCACACCTATGCATATGTTACTCACCCACCTTGCGCCACATATTTGTCTCTCGTGATGTCACTTTTTTTGAAAACGAACCATATTTTTCTGCCACTCATCTTTAGGGGGAGACACTTAGTGAAGATGAGACTCTTCATACTCTTCTTATTATACCCCCTGAGCCTATCCTGAACACCTCTGTCATACAAAATTCTAAGGATGACCCTGCCCTCAAAACACCAGATTTGAGTGTTCCACTGGAGAAAGATGAACTTCCCAGCCATGAAATCCCCATTGGAAGTAAGCTTTAACAATCTAATCCCTTTGAGATACCCCAACTATAGCCTCCAGAAATCATTGTTTATTCTCGGAAACATTTCCCTCCTAAACGACACAGCAGCAGTGCCAAATTCATCCAACTCCGATGACTGTCCTGTTCCAGATCAGTCTCCTGGTTCGTCGAATATGGACCTTCCCATTGTTGTTCGTAAAGGCACAAGAACTTGTACTCGGCATCCAATCTCTCGGTTTGTATCCTATGGAAATTTATCTAAAGCTTACAAAACTTTTGTAACTAATATTGACAGTGTAGAGACTCCAAGAAATGTGAAAGAGGCTTTGAAATCAACCGAATGGAGACATGTTGTTTTTGAAGAAATGAATGCTCTCAAAAATAATGGGACATGGGAAGTTGCAGATCTGCCAGAAGGGGAGAAAACCGTGGGTTGTAAATGGATTTTCACCACAAAAATCAAGCATGATGGGAGTATTGATCGACACAAGGCCCGACTTGTGGCAAGAGGTTTTACTCAAACCTATGGTCTCAACAATGATGAGACATTTGCCCCCGTTGCAAAGCTCAATACTGTTCGAGTGCTCCTTTCCTTCGGTGTCAACCTTGATTAGCCCTTAACACAACTTGATGTTAAAAATGCATTCCTCAACGGAGACTTGAGTGAGGAGGTATATATGGACTTTCCACCAGGTTTTGAAGAAGAAAAAGGGCGAGTATGCAGATTAAAGAAGTCCTTATACGGACTGAAACAATCCCCAAGAGTTTGGTTCAGCCGGTTTACCAAGGCTATGACCAGCAGGAATTACACTCAAGGGAAAGCAGATCATACACTATTTTACAAACACTCGGGAAGTGGGAAATACTCTATTCTTATCGTCTATGTTGATGATATTATCCTAACAGGGGATGATTCAAGTGAGTTGATGAAACTAAAAGACTTCCTAAGCACAAAATTTGAGCTTAAAGATTTGGGGAATCTCAAATACTTCCTTGGCATGGAAGTAGCACTGACTTGGACAAGCATCTCTATTTTCCAACGAAAGTATGTTCTTGATTTATTGGCTGAAACTGGCATGCTAGGTTGTAAACCTGCTGAGACCTCAATGGTGTTCAATTCTAAGCTAGACAATGATGATGATGGGGAAGAAGTAGACAGGGGTAGATACCAGCAACTCGTGGGAAAACTTATTTATCTATCTCACACCCGACCTGATATTGCATTCGGGGTGAGTGTCATCAGTCAATATAGGAAAAATTTGGGGGAAGTTTACAGGATGCTAATGTATTTGAAGGGATCACCGAGTAAAGGTCTTCATTTCAAGAAAAATACCAGTCGTGATAGAACTTTACACTGATGCAGATTGGGCAGGATCAGTGAGTGACAGACGATCTACAAGTGGTTATTGTAGTTATGTGTGGGGCAATCTTGTGACATGGAGAAGTAAAAAACAGTCCGTTGTGGCTCGTAGCAGTGCAGAGGCAGAATATCGAGCTTTGTCTCATGGTATATGTGAGGGAATTTGGTTACAAAGATTAATGAAGGAACTTAAAGTATCCTATGTTAAACCTATGAAGGTATATTGTGATAATCAAGTTGTTGTCAGTATACCACATAACCCAGGTCATCACGATCGGACTAAACACGTGGAGATAGATCGTCATTTCATCAAAGAGAAGGTAAATTCAGGATAAGTTTGTACCATCTATCTTCCTACTAAGCAACAAGTTGCAGACTTGCTAACTAAAAGTCTGAGTAAGAATATGTTTGAAGATTTTATTGGCAAGCTGGGATTGATAAATATCTACACACCAGCTTGAGGGAGAGTGCTAGAAATCCTAGAATTAAGAAACTGAATCTTCTTCTTTATTTTTAGGAGTTAACCTAGTGTAAATATGTCTCTAATTGTAGTTCCTTATTTTTAGGGGTACTTTCCTATTTTTTGTACTAATCCTTCCTTTAAAGTTGTAATATGCTGTTAGAGAAATATCAGAATCATTATTTTCTCAAATCAGTTCAGTAAATGTAAAATGTAAATTTTGAATTCAACTATTTCTCTATCTAGCATTATTTGTTCATTAGGACTTAATAATTCAATTTGTCTATATTTGTACTTCTTTGCATTATCTTACAACTTTAAAACACATTCATATGTAATGTTTTGAATGACAGTTTTTATTTACCTTTCTTGTACGTTGCACTTATCAAAACTAGTAATTACACTTATTTCATATGCACGATATTAGAAATTATATACTTTCAAGAAATAACTTCTTAAAAAATTAAAGAATATGAAAGTAAAGTATGTATGGTTGAGAAACTACATATACAAGAGGATAAACATTTTAAAAAAATGTCGAATGCCAAAGAATGGTATTGGGAAAATAAGGAGGGCCACATTTTAAAATGTCCATGGGGCTAAAACAAGAATATTGAAGAAGCCAAGGGGATTTAGTTTCACTTACTCCGCTCTTTTTTTTTGGTTATGTTATTAGCTTTACATGTTCCATCCATAACTTTGTTATAAATGCCTCTGTGAACATTGTTTTATTTCTTGACTTTGTTATATAGATATTCAAAGAATCCTTTTGGTAAAAGGAAGGACGGTCATCTAGTTGCTTCCCCCAGTGCAAATGGGCCAGCAGCAGCTATGACTTACCAGTAGATCATGGGGATCTTCTCTGTTTTCTGTGCTCCGATCAATACATGCTAGGATGCATCTTGCAGCTGTTGCATGCATCTATTTCATTATCAACATCAGCATTGGCATCTCTTCTCATGTGTTTGAATTCGCATTGTGGTGTCATGAGTGCACTATTTGCTCATGTTATATCATTTTGCCTAAGACATGCATTTGTCTGCAACATATTTTATATGGCAGTTTAACTTTATAGGTTCAGATGAATTTGATATTTGTACAAGTGGTGCATCGTCTACAGTTTCGGTTAATTTGTTTGTGTGCTATTCCCCCTCATGTTGAACATTGACCAAACCATGATGTTGGTCTAGAGCTGTTTAATATTAGGGTTAAACTGCATCACACAGCATACATCAGGATTTGATGCACACATACATTGCATTACTAGCATGACATTCAAAGGCGATCCTCAGTTTCGTTTCATCACTGGTTTGATTTAAAGACGTAGAAGATCATTCCATTTTTCATTATATACATGAAATTCAAATAACTGTTTCCATAGCCATAGGCACCATGTGTTCACGCCGGAGAAGCAATTTTGGAAAATATGTAAGCTGCTATGATCTAACTACATTACATCAGAAGAAAAACCTGATTTTCGTATCATGACATTATTGGTGATTCGAAAATGTAGGGAAGCATAACATTTCTGATTTAGGGTGTTGGAAGAGTATTAGGAGGATGTGATTTTATATGCATGCAGGATAAGCTACTCTGCTTGAGGTGAATGGTGCTTCAGCCCATAATTTATCACAGGTAAAACTTTTAGTAGTAGTCAAAAGTGAATCCATGTGGATGTTTCATGTTCTGTTGTCCCAGGCACTATTCATGGGGATTTTGGGAGTTGTACCAAGGTAACTATCTACTCTCTTGTCATTACACTCTTTTCATGTTTCCGACCAACTTCGATTTTGGAGGAAAAACTATTTAGTGTCTCCGTCTTTTAGAACTCGAACCAAATATATATAAAAGAAATAATCTAATTGAATTCCATTGGTTTGGATCAATTTAGTTTATTGATTTTTAAAATTTTATTCTTATATGCAATTTTAAGTTTTCATTTCACTAATTTAATGTACACATACAATATAAAAATAATAAATTAATTATAATGAAATTCAAGATCCAAATAATTATATCTTTTTCGTGTGAACAACGTTAGGCAAGTCTAATTTTTATCATGGGCATATATAAAATGTAGCAGATTGTTATATTTTTATTACTGAAAATCAATTGCCTTATATAAATAATCTATTATAATCAAAACATAAAAAACCTGTATTAGATCATTAACGATTGCAGCGATGGGATTTTTTGAAATGATTTTGAGATGAAATGTTGGAAGTCGTTAGTAACCAATTTTAAGGTGCACTTGGAACGTCTAAAATCTGATAATTTTAATAAAATATTTTATTTTTATAAAAAATATTAAATTTTGGTTTGTGAAAATAAAAAAAGTATTCGGGAGTCGGTTACGTGTGGAGAAGGATTAGTATTCCTATAGCGTCTAAAAATTAGTATTTAGTTGATTACCTTATATCGAAAATTGAAAATGTTGAGTTCGAGGTTTTATTTAATTTAAAATTATTATAGATGTCAAGTTTGGAAAAGGGTGTCAGTTTACTAAAACTAATAATGACCACCTTAGCAGCATGTAATGTTAAAACTTCGTTATTAATCTACATAAATAAACATTGCCTCAAAGTTTTAGAAATCATGATATGGGGTTTTCAAAAAGATTTTGATTTACTTCGAGAATTATCATTGGTTACCCTTGAGCATAACGTGAAGTATTAAGAGATCAATAACTTTGATGAGATGTCAAGCTTATGAAAAAATGAAAACACAACAAAGCACAAAACATGACAAAAGGAAATTTAGCAGAAATGATAATTAAAGGAATGTGAACTGACAAATAAATCGTTAAATACAACTCATAGATGAGGTTAAACAAATAAAACACGCAAAGGAAAGTAAGGTCCTAAACCGTATGTATTCCAGTTCTCTTAAGGCTTCCACATTGCTCTAGTGGGTGTAGGCTTTGCTAAATTCTCTACATGAAGTTTTATTCTAAAAAGGTTCCCGAAATGTCCTTACAACATATTAATGTTAATAAAGACTTCGATTCTAGTCTATTACAAATTTTGCGAATCGAATTCAGTTTAGGGGACTACATAACTAAATGTGTGTCATATAACTGATATCTAGCTAAACACTTAGAATGCTTTCCAGAAGTACTTTGCCAGACCAACACGAAAAAGAACTAAGTTCCTCTGTGGTGTGGCGTTTCCCCCTACGTATGTGAAACGGGACGGAGCTCGGGTATAGAGCTATGATATGAAATTGTTCTAAATATATTCAATCAAGTGAAAACATTAACTAGAGAGAAAATATTTTTCCAATTTTTAAAAAAACTTAAATAACTATAAATTAAATAAATTTGAACTCAAATTTTCCAAATTCCAAATATAGGGTAATCAACTCGTGGTTTGACTCTAAATTTTTGTTTTAGAAAACACAAGTCCCAGAGGAGGTGTCAAGCTGTCGCAATCGACCCTTCGGGGGGGAATTGACTAATTAAAACGATGGGAGTTTTTAAAATTATTTTGAGGTGAAATTTTGGGAGTCACCACCACTCATTTTTAAGGTGCGATTGGAACACCTAAAATCGGATAATTCTAATAAAATATTTTATTTTTATAAAAATAGAAAAATTTGGTATGCGAAAACCAAAAAATAGGTTTTGTAGTCGGTTACGCGTGGGGAAAGGTTAGCATCCCCACATCGCCCAAAAATTGATACCTAATCGATTAACCTATATCTAAAATTGAAAATTTTGAGTTCGATGTTTTATTTAATTTAAAAATTATTATGGATGCTAAGTTTGAAAAAGGATGTCAGTTTACTAAACCAATAACGACCACCCTCGAGCATATAATGTAAAAACTTTGTTATTCATCTACATAAACGAACATTGTCTTAAAGTTTGAGAAATCTTGATATGTGGTTTTGAAAAGGATGTTGATTTACTTCGGGAATTACCGGTGGTCACCCTCTGAGCGTAACACGGAGGATACACTATTAATTCCTTAATAAATGAACATTGCCTCATTATTTTAAAATCAAAGTGCAATCATACAACCTTTTTAAAAAAACCTAATTATACTAAGTGGGTTATTTAAGGCAATCTCTAATTTAAAGTGTCAATTATAAGCTTTAGATAACCTAAAAATGGGTTCTAATATTAATCTTAAATTGCTTTAACCAATTATTGAATCGAATAATCGAAATGGTCCCTTGAGCATGTTAATGAGTGAGCCAATTCAATTTACTCCCTAAGTTAAAGGACTAAAGTTAAATTAAGCCTAAAATAGAGGAACTAATTATTAACCATAATTGATTTTAGAAATTTTAATCGAATAATTAAAATAAAACTCTGAGTATAGTCAAAGACTATCCTAAACATCCACCTAATTAATCTAAGTGAGGACCTACTTAAAGAAATAAAATCCAAAGAATTAATCTAAATCAAATAACCCCAAATTTAAAGCTAAATCAAGTAAGTACGATTATAAATTAAGATTTAAAAAAAGTAACAAATAATAAATGCAAACTTTAATGATAAATCATGAATAAAAATTAAAAAAAAACTAGATAAATTGATGGGGACCAAGTAAAGACCAATTAATAAGAAATAAATACATAAAAAACAAATTTGGGCAAAAACAAAACAAAGCATGAATCAGACATTTCTTAAAAAGAATCAAAAATAAAAGAGAATATAAAATCCAAGAGGAAAATGTGACCGAGTTTAAGGAAATAAAAGAATGATAGATAATGGCAACAACTAATAAACTATCGAACAAATTAGGAGAAAATAATAATAATAATAATAATAATAATAATAATAATAATAATAATAATAATAATAATAATAAACAATCATTTAGTAAAGTAAAAATAAACAAATTTAAAACAATGGGACAACCAATTATCACATATGGAAATAAATTAGTGACAGTAAGAAAAACATACTAGTGTAAAATAAATGAGGAAAGTGAATCAAATAAAAATGGTGAGAAAAAAACATTACATAATCAGTACACACATTCGAGTAAAAAAAAATCAGGGACCAAAAGTGAGCACATAGCTATGATGAGGGACTTAAGCACAAATAACCCATAAATTTAATTATAAATAATTACCTAATCACAAAAATAAAAAATAGCAACATAAAGACATGCAATTAGAAATAAAAAGAAAAAGAACACAACAGGGGACTAAAGTGAAATTTGGTCAACTTAGGGTGATTAAAATTTAATTTTCCAATTTTTATAAACCTAAATATACTACACATGCAATAGGGAAAATTACAGTATTAGAACATTACAATTGAATTAATTACAAAACTTACACACCAGGTGACTAAAATGGAAATATATGCTAAACATGTAAGGAATTACCGCGCTCTAACCCAAACCCACTAAACGGCGCCGTTTCTTCAGGGCTATTAAACCTTGAAATTAAACAAAATAAAAAGGTTATCTCATTTGTGAAAAAAATTTGAGAGAATTCTTTCTTCTCCTCTTCCCTCTTCACCGGACTTCACGGGTTCACAATGAACCCAGATTCCAGTGGAAGCTCCGCGGCGAAGACCGCCACTAATCGGCGGCGACTGCTAGCGAAGGTAATCTTCTCCCTTACAATATAAAGGTTCTCGAATGCCCGAAATGAAAGAATCGATTTATTGTTTCGAATGGATTTCATTTCGTTTGTGGGTTCTCAAATGCTCGAAATAAAAAGGTTTATTTGTTGCTTTTTCTTTTGTTTGTTTAAAAAAAAAATGAAAGAATCGATTTATTGTTTGTTTCTTGTTTTTGTAAATGATAGAAGAGATCTTGTTTCTATTGCCTCGAATTATGGGTTGGGCAGAAGACCCTTACAATCTGATTTCATTCAGGTTTTATACCATGTTTACAGAAAAAAAATTAATCTTCATTTGTGTTATTCTGTTTTGCATGGTAGTGACGAGGACAAGAGAGCTTGCTGGGCACGCATACGCTGCTGAGCTGTGAGAAGTCGTAGGAGAGCTTCTGGAATGCACAGTTGTCACCTAAAGTGGAAGCTTCTGAAAGCTTGACGGCGGCGACAACATTTTTGGTGTGATTAGGGTTTTTAAAACCCTAATCCTTGACAAATTTGGTCCGTGGATTCCAACTAGATCTGGAGGTGGAGAAGAGCTGACGACACCCCCTAACTCCCAGTTGTTAAGAGTTTCTGCTCAGGCTCAATCTGTTGAGCTGCTAATATTATTTGGGCCAACGTAAGAGAATCGATCTTCGATCATCTCCAATTCAATTTGAATTACTCGGATAAAATTAGGTTATTACAGTTTGTTTTGGGACAAATAAACAATCTTATTA